TTTAAACATATTAATCAAATAGAAAGTAACGCTTGTACTTTAAACTCCTAAAACTTTCTAAGAAATGTGTGCATGATATGCACATCTACCTCTTTGTACGAGACGTAAAGTACTTTTCTGTAAATTAAAGTACAGTTATTGAAACAATATATTCTGATCGAAAAGTTGTAAATGTCATTTAAGAGTTCCATCAAGATGAATTCTTCAAAGACAAATTATGGATTTCTAAAGACATAGCTGATTTTAATGCCAAGAGGATAGGTTTGTTCAACATTAATTGCACATTGGAAAACACCCTTTTGATTTCGTTTAAACACGATTTAATATTTTTTTCAATATATTAGCCTAAAATTCATGAGATAGACATAGATTTGACAAGGAATATTTAAGAAAACAAGTTATTGCCAATCATACGAATTGGCATACTTCAATTTCTTCTTTCAAAATGACTTATGACTATTAATAACAGCAAATTTCATTTAGGTAATCAGGAAGTATGATGTAATTTAAACGTCTTCTATCACTTCATCATTACTTTTTTTCCTAGAAATTTAAGACCTTTCATGCAACTATTTCTCTCGGTGAATATGAACATTTCTACGTAAATGAGCACCTCACTGGTATTCTTAAATAAATACAGTGCGCTAACTCAAGATGTCAAGTTCGTTGTATCCATAACTTTTCTTGGTTCACATGAAAATCTTTCTATGAAAGAACGTAAAAACAAATTTTGCAGGTTTTCCTCATTTTCATGATAATTATAAGGTTTTCATGATACTTGTCCCAAATTTATTCTGGGAGTGGTTTTTCGTTAGAAGATTAAAGGACTAATGAATGTTATTGATCCTAATCAAATCACAATTTAGATTGTAGGTCTGATTCTCTTTTCTTAAAATCAATAAAGTTATATATATATATATATATATATATATATATATATATATATATATATATATATATATATATATATATATATATATATATATATATATATATACACACATTCGTAAATAGAAAAAAAAATTTATATGTATTAAAATTGAATTATCTTTTAAAGAAGGTCAGACTTAAAAATAATCTTCCGCAAATACTTAAGCAATCTTTAAAAGAAATCTTTGTTGCCGCATTCAAAAATTTTCTTTAAATTCATATTTGTATTAAAAACTTTTCTTACATATGATTAAAGTACAAGGAGAAATGCTTTTTTCAGTATGATTTAGCAAAGAAAAGAACTGAGCGACACTAGACAAACGACATTATATGCAAATATGTGTCTATGACAAAATAAGTTTATAATTTCTGGAAATGCAATAATGGAATGATATGTCAAACAAGACGAAAGATAAGTTATATGAAAATAGGTTAAATTCCTAGCTATTCATGCCAGAATTATTTCTTTTGGGTAATTGAACAATTTATGTTGAAGACATGTCCTCATGAAATAAGAACGAGCGATTTTATATGTTAAATGAGTTGCCAATAAAACAGAGAGATTACACAGCGTAAATTATACGACATGAAAGAATGACTAATACAGAATAAATATATAACTGGAAAAAAGTGACAAGGTCAATTTCGAAACTAGAGTGTAATGTACATTTTTATGTTACTTACTGCACTATTCACAGCTTCATTTTCTTAAGTTTACGATTAAATAGAAAGCAAAATCTTCAATGGTAATAATTTCATCCTTAATTTTTATAATGATTAGACACTATCACAGAAAATAATATTCACTCATTTTGACTTTGAATATCATCAATCAATATTTATTACTTTGTACTTTTAGCCAGGAAGAGAAAAATATTTTTGCTTAATTTTAAGCTATACAATGTACATTATTGAATAGGATAAATAGATTGAAAAATATTTTATCGATCACAAAAGGTAGGTTTGACATTGGTGATGTTTGCATTCTGCATTTTCAAAGTAAGTAAGTAATTGTTTATTTAAGTGTCAAATATTACAAATGAAATATATGTAGCTCAATTACAACTGCATATAAAATATTGGCATCCTGCCTCAAAGACATAAGAGAAACCAACATACCTGTCATCCTTCATAAATGATAGTCCTTGGAACATTTTCCATGCTAATTCAGTAGAAAAAGTTAGATTCCTATATTCTCTTTACTAATTTCCAATCTAAAGTTGTAAACGATTACGTCACAATAAATACGTGTAAATAAATACAATGTCAATAAAAATATGAAAGGGAAAAACTATATCTCAGTTATGACAAAATTTCTTTTATATTTCATTTCATATACCATTAACATATACTTATGTAAAATCACTACAAATCGTAAAAATTTCAGAATGATTGAAATTATTCGTCTATCAAATAGCATTCATACAAGTAAATCAAAGAGGGCAAAAACGGTCAATTTTTCATACTTAAACACAATTTTTCCATGTAAGTGGATCTTACCTCCATTTTTTTAAAGATTGTAATCATTGTATAAATAAAAATATAGATTCTTCGGTTAACAAAAACATGGAGCAAAGACCCCGTATACTCGTATCTAAAAAATACACTTTTTTGACACAATATTCGTATTTTTCCGAGAAATATCTGAAGTCTATTTAGTCAAGGGTCATATCACAAACATTTAAATGCTGTTTTTTGTTATGAGCGGTATAGCGTATTGGTTAGCGTGTTAGTCTTGATGGTAAAATTGATGCTCAAGATACTTTATTGCTTGAATCCCATGAACCCCAAGAATACTACACTTTTTTTTAAATCATGCAATGATTTTTGCAGAAAAAATTCTTTAGAAAAGGCTTGTTTTTCATAACTTTCTGTGATAAGAACTTTACTCTAAATACTAAATTCACAAATTGAATACGACTTTTATACATTTGAAGCTATTGGCATTTTGCACGCCTTGTTCGCCCATCTTCATAAACTACAAATTTAGATTGGAAAATAAGGCACTATTACCAACGAAAGGTTGTTATTGAAAACAAAATTCAACACTGCAAAAGAAAATTTTTATATACATGTAGTTTTACAATTTCATCTCATAGTATTTTTATTTTTAGGTATATTTACGTATTTCACGACTTTTTATCTTCTGCAAGTAATAAAAACAAATTGTCCCCAATGCCACCTCTATTTAGCATGTTAATTAGATTCAAAATGCATGTTCTAAAAAGGTACATATTTTGATAACTAAACCGTTTATGTAAAATAGGAATCTCACGGAGATAAATACCATTAAGTTTTCTTTCATACTCATTCCATTGTTAAGTATGCCTTCCTCCTAAGATATTTAGTAACTATTTTTATATTAGCTGTGCATTAAAGATCCCAAGGTTTCTTTTGAAAATTTTCAAGATTTACTACTACTATTTCACATCACATTGACATACATTACCACATGAAAAAAAAATCTTTTTACTTCTGGGGGAAATATGCTAAAGTTCATTTCAATAATCTTCCGATTTCATGAACAATTGGCTTATTCCCTCCCCCATTTTTCTTCAATAAACAACTTTTACAGTAATAGGTGTATTTGTTATTTGCTACTAAATATCAAACATGATAGATATTTTGAAATTTATTCAAAAGCCTTGCAATTTTTAAAGGGAAAATAATTTCAAAAAAAGAGAAAATAGGCTGGGATCATTGAAAAAAAAACTTCTTCTCAAGAGCCATCGACACAGAAAATCAAAATTTATGTGAATGCGTCGTAATAAAGAGAAAATTCAAGAATAAATGCATTAGTAAGAGACAACATAGTTTTGCTTGAAAATATAAAGTTAAAATCTCAAGAGCTGAAAGAATAAGATTGTGAAATCATTAAACAATAAGAATTTTATTGCATCAAAACCATCACTTGATACAACAAACAGATTTCGAAATCTGTTGGAGAATTCCTGCATATTATCAATCACTTGTACCCTTGTTTTTGAGAAAAATCACGTTTCCCTCATAATAAATGTAAAACTTTGAACCCTTTATGACATGTAACCTCTTTTCTTCAGAGGGACAATGATGTTAACAAAATGGAATGAATATTGTAAAAAAAAATAAACTTGCATAAGTTGATTTGACAATTTGTAGCCTTTTATTCCACGCAAAGATTTATTTCATTAAAATGTAGAATGAAAAACTATCTGCAACAAGGGAGTACACACACACATACAAACACACACACACACACACAGAGAGAGAGAGAGAGAGAGAGAGAGAGAGAGAGAGAGAGAGAGAGAGAGAGAAAGAGAGAGAGAGAGAGAGAATTACAAAATTCCCTTTTTCAAGACGCAAACTACAATTCTATCTTTTTTCATATTTATCGTATACAGAAAGATTAAATACATTTGTAACTAAAGCTAAAATTTCCCCCCAAGACAATAATGAAATTAAGAGTTAAATGACGATTTATTGCTATTTTATTTCAAGAGTTATTGATTGAACAATTTTACAATTCAACTAATTTCAGATATTATCAGGTTATGGCATAAATATAACACTTTAAACTAGGAGCAAAGCATATTCGTGAAAGAAAAATAATTTACTGTTTAAACAGATTAAAACAGATCAAATCTTATTGTTGAACAAGTGGAATTGGTTTTGTCTTATAATATAAAGAATATAAATTTCCTTCTTTAAATTGACGATTTTTGTTTTGTTTTGTTATTTTTTAAATTGTTTTATTAAGGAGAATTTCTAGCATCTGTTTCTAGTTTCTTTGCAAGCTTGAATAGGGCATTGTAGACCTCCTCAAAGTATAAAGATTAACAAGAAATGTTAAGGGTAGATAACTGCATAGAGCTAATTTAACTGCGTATCAAGCACATTTCAACGCTGTCGTTGAAATTGTAAGGCAAACAAGTGCGCAACTTGTATTTTGATATTCTTTTGAAAAAATAATGCTATAAATAATATTATTCAATAACTCGCACGTAAACATGATGAAAAGGTGGTATATACCCTCTAACGTGATGGGACATTATTGTCTTTTAATATATCTATATTTAGAAAACAGAGCAGTCCCAACGAGGTAATCCCCAAGTTTGACGTCACACATTTCTATTATGAGGGGAACTCTGACGTCATATGTAATTAAATATAGATGACAATCGATGCCTTTGGAAGTAAACGATGGCCATTTTTTTTTACTCTGCAAGAGAAAAAGTATGTCGTTTGCAAAATCGATTCCTCCGACGTAAATCTGCATTGATTTTTCTCTTTGCTGTTGGCTACATGAACGTAACCTTCTGCGTCAATGCACAGAATGCGTTAGCAATCTTAGATACTATGAAATCAAACTTCAACATGTATATATAAGGAGATTTTCTTAGTGGCCGCGAACAATTAAATATTAATGGAAGAATTTGACGCAAAATTTTTCTTAAAATTTTAATTTACAACATTTGAAATTGGATTTTATTCGATGGGGAATATCATAAACAGGTTTGTATACATATATTTTTCGCGTTTTATATCTCTTATTTTAATACAGCATCACTTCTACTAATACAGCATACATTTTATTTCATAACATTTATAATGTCACAATGTAGTTTATAAGAATAGTACCCATTTTTAAATAGAAGCAGATACTGAAACATTAAAACTTTTAATTTGTTGCAATAAAGTAATTTGAATTCATATTTATTTTAAAGTTTAAATTTGCTAGTTAGTACAAGTTCCTCTGACTATATAGATCATAGTTATATACTATAAATAATTGAGATATTCATGATTACTCATCCGGTGTGGTGGCGGGCAATTCAAATTCTACTTTGCTGCTGTGACGTCAGTATCTTTTCATTTTCCATATGACAAGAGGATATGGTACATGAGAACCCGTTCATTTGTTACTAGATGTGAATATGTGAAGCTTGAAATAAAAACGCCATAATACACTTAAAATGCACAAGCGCAAGTCTTGCAATCTATATATCGATATTGCTTGAATGATACAGCGGAATTTGGTGAAAATATGCTAAATATATCAATAAATGACAAAGTATTCAAACAACCTTCAACGATATTTAAAAAGAGTATTTACTTTACATTTTGTCTGATTGTAAATAGCTCGGCTTTTTTCGATGTTTCATTGAAATAGATGAATTAAAGAACATGTGTACTTACTAAGCGTTGAGTATATAGAGACTAGAAACGTTGATGAAGAGTATCTCAATGACGTCATGACTTATGGTCTGCTTTGTAAACATTACAGGTAAAGCCAACTTCTACAAACTAAGTCGAGATGAAAGAGGCATTTTGGATCTCATACACCGGGACGTTCTATCTCTTCTTATAAATGTCACAGAACACCCTCATCCAATATAGTAATTAGGGATTTGTTAGCATTTGGATGCAACCTTTTGCTGACATTAAACAAAATGTCAAAATTACAAGTTAAGCATACCAGACTCCGATCATTGCACAATATATAACGGGTACTGTTGCAGAGGATTCTATTGTTTTATATTTGAAACTGAATGCACAATGTGTGATCTGTGATTTATTCTGATGAATACATTTTAACGCCAATAAAAAGATGGATCACTATTGTTCTATTTCTTTTTTTGTTCAAGAAAAGGGATATATTTTGAAAATTATTTGTGGGTGCACTTCGAGGAGTATTCCTATAGGATGATTACCATTTTTGTGCATTTTTAGTGGAAATGCTTTACCTTCTGGATAACAGATTTCTAAGATGGATATAAAATGTGGAGTAAGAGATTATGCGTTTCGAGAATCCTACAGTTTATAAAAAAAAACCTGATTCATGCTTGTTGATAGAAAACTGCTTTATGCATGAATGGGATCTGCATTTCACGTTATCAAATAAAGAAAAATTACAAAACTGGATTATATTCTTCGTAAACAGAGGTGTTTCCTGAGTGCATATGTACAAGGCAGCTGCAACGGATACTAAGCCAGAGTTCATTTGACTTCGACCACTGAATAAAGCAGAAGATGGTAGTTTTTAACTTGATGGCACCCAATGTTTCCTGGGCATGATCAGAAAGGCTATAATGTGTTAAATCTGGTTATTAAAAATGTGGTTTCTACCATACAGAATATACATTTATTCTTTTTTCATTATGTTTTTCCAAACATTTTTCATTTTTTATCGAATTAAAACTATTTATTACATTTTCGGGCACCAAGACCATAAACTGAGAACAAACTTAGGTCAAAATTTCAAACTAGAATAACTTTGAAATAAATATGAAAATAAAACAAATTATCATCATCAGCTCCTCAGCCAGTAACAAAAACTCTTAAAATTATTATTTAATTCAAAAGTCTAAAACTTCAGCTTGAAATTGAAAACTTTTCGCTCAGCTATTTTCATTTCATGCATTGCAATATGATTCAAGGTTCTTCGAAGTCTTAGAAACGGTCTCCTAAAAATTTGACATTTGTACCCCAATAAAAGTACAAAACTACGTACTTTTTTAGAGAAATAGAATTTCCTTTAATTTAATCTAGCCATAGATACCACTACTTTCTAGCAAGGTATGGAATGAGAAGTGATCTGTGATATCTTGTAATGTCAGCACAACTTTTAACACCGTGTATTATATAACAATTTAAGTAAACAGAACTTAACGCCTTACATGCAATTTTCTCCAAATTCCCAGATATCTATAGTTTTTTTAAAATTCCTAAAATATATTTGTTGATTAATTTTCGATTAGAAATGTATAGCTGGTGCTTTCATTCGCGTTTCCTAAAATGTTTTTGAGATTTGATAATTTTCCCTTTATATAATATGATTAACTATAATGAAGAACTTTAAGAAATACCATGGGTAAATAAACATTACTTTGTAAATTCAGAGACATTTTTGCGAGCATATATACAATTTACTTCACTGCTGATTATCAGAACCTCAGGATCGGACTACCTTAAATAGAAATCAAAATATTCAGTATCTGAATTTAGACTGAAATCTGTTTTAAGTTTATGCATTTGGGGCCAGGATATCAAGAATTTTATTTAAAAAAAAACATAATTAATGTTTTGTTTTACTTTTGCACAGAAAAAGTTTCAATTCTTCCAAAAAATCTTGCATTTACGTTACTTATCATGAACTTGCATTCCGTTTTCCTCAGTGATTTGCACACGTTTGGCTATGCCATTCAGTATAATTTGTAGTACAATACACAATGGCTATCCGTGGCCAATGTATTCCCTTAACCTGTACTGACAATAGTTACGCAGAGGGAAAATCGAAGAAGCTAAACTAGATAAAGATGAAAAAAGTCATTAAAAATTCAAATAACCTGACCCTTTTCTCTGAACTTTCATCTTCTCTGAACTACCATTGCAAATTAATTTTTAACAATAGCAATATGTTTAAAAATAGAACCTCTAAGACTTCATTCTACATAAGAAAACGTCACAATAGTTATTCTCAGTTTTTTTTTCGGCTCGTGATGTACATTTAATGTCGAAAAAAATGTCACTTCTCCTACGAAACCAATTTTCCCCCTTTTAGTTGCTTATACGTTTAATTTTTTACTTTTAATCTTAGGAAGAAGTTTGATTTGATGTTTTAGTAATATCACGTGCAAAACTTATTTACTTTATTTGAACATTTTTCAGTCAAAATCCAAATCTACAGTAAAATAGTCTGTATTGAAAGAAACATTTCTGGCAATTTAGACTATATATATCAAATATCAGACTTCAATGAGAACATACCTTAATGATTCTTCATATTTTTTCTGATGGTCTGGCATATTGCTCTCTCAGTAGACACTGATTTCGCATTTGATGTTTTTAATGTAAAATCAAATATTTAGATTTTAATAATGTAACTCCTATGCGTAAATAACCAAAAACGTCATTATTTATCCAATCAGATACAGCTGTTGGGATAAGGGCAAAAAGGTTTGGTTCAGAAATAATATTTTCAATAGGATGGACAAATATTCTTTTGTTCAGCAAAAGACAAAGTTGTAAACTAGTATGACAGGTATTAAAAACTCACATCAATACACTATTGTTCAAAATTGAAAACAAGGCCAAGACTATGCGTGTCAAAGTTATCCACTCACAAAATGTTCTTTAGTAACAATAACAGAATGCTATGAAATTATATTTAGCATTCTGATATGAAACATATTTCACCTCAAGTCCTTGAAACAAGGAAACAGAATGGATACTACTGTGGGCGTCTGTACTTGTTACTCCTGGAGTTGTGGTCCCTATTGTCTTTATTATATTAAGGATTCAATTCGTCAATCCAAATGCAATCCTCGTTCGTATACCTTTCTTCAATATGGTGAGTGTCAGTTTTACTTAATTTCAACAATATAATATATATGTGGAATAGAATTAAGGGCAGAAAAGAGTATTTTTTTCTCTTAATTTTTTTTGTTCTATTTCAGTCTTACTTCATAAATTTATCATACCATTCAACAATAAAATGATGTTTCTTTAATTCAGATTCAACTTCTGCATGTAAAATATGTTTGCGTATGCATTGGATTTACTTTTGTCTTTTTGAATACATGTATAAAAACTTCTATAAAATTCCACCACTGTTTTCTAAAAATTCAAGATTTTTTTTTGAGTTTCTAATTTGAAATTGCCTTTTGGGAAAAAAAAGAAATGTAAAAATGCATGTCCCTATAGAGATGGAATTTTTGCTCCATTTTTTTTTCAAATTCCAGAATCATTTATTACAATACAAATAATGACTGGACCGATTCTTTATTAGAATAACTTTGTGGCAGTACTCACAGAATTTTTTGCTGCTTTTAAGTAAAATATAGCACTGTAACTTAATTTGCCAGCTATAGACTAGGGTCCAGGCAATATTTATCACCGGGGTGGGACCAGTGCAATATATATATATATATATATATATATATATATATATATATATATATATATATATATATATATATATATATATATTAAAAGTCTTGCAATTAGTCTTATAAAAAGAAAGATGCAAGTGTCCCACCCTCATGTTGAGTGAAAAAGTCAAAATATATAAAGCATAACCTTTCCTATTAATTAACATCTGTCATCTAGAGGGTTGGGATCGATAAATACCACTTGTAGGGTACAGAGGTACAGACTCTGTTTAACTGAAGAAAATGTTGGTATTTTCCATTTCAGAACTAAATGTTTGGGAATTTAGGATAAGGTTTTTGATTGCATGCAACCTGAAAATGTATAATAGTTGGATTAAATGAAGAATATGAACCATATTTATTTATTTTTTTCATTCGCAGGAAAATAAAGTATACTTCTGTACACTTTTGTACAAACTTTCATTTAACTTCTTTACATGTCTCTATATTTGGAAATGACCAGAGATTCTAAGTACTACAGATTTAAGAAAAAAGAAACATGTTTCTGGGATTGTAGAGAGATCTGACTTTTCATTGGAACGGTTAGGTCGGTAAAGTGATTTTGCAGAGTTCTCTGAATTGACCATATTTTTTAATTTTTTCAATGAAATGGCAAATTTGGTATTGTTTTTCTCAAAATAGCATTTACTTTCTAAATCTAAAATAATATATTAATTTCCAGAAATGTAAAGGTGACAGAAGACAGTTTCGCACTGAATGCCAAGTTAAAATTGTTGGGGAAAAGGGAGAACCTGAGGGATTGAGGGTTATAAATTATTCATATACCCTATGAAACTATTAAATGTTCCCTCATTTCATTATAAAATATAGTATATGTATATAAATATTCAAATATTAATATTAGGTTTCAAAGTTACATACAGGTATACTTATATAGTGTGATTTACTAATTCTTTTAAGGCGAACTTTAAAGAGAACTATAATTTGCATGTCCCATCTACATTATTGGTGTTTAAAAAATTGCTTGCCCAACCTTATTCCCCCCAAAAGCTTCTATCACATTATACTTTGCACTGGCCCCACCCTGGTGATTAATATTATCTGGTCTCCTAGAGCAATCCTATCAGTTGTCAGACTACTTGTGAAATAAGGATAGTCTGATCCTCAGGTTTTGAAAATCAGGAATTAAGTGTTTGAAATGCTCACAAAAATGTCTTTGAATTCTCAAAGTAATATGTATTTACCCATGGCATTTCTAAAAAGTTCTTCATTTTAGTTTATCACATTATACAGGGAAATTACCAAATTTCAAATATATTTTTAGGACACGCGAATAAAATCAACCGCTATGCATTTTCTAATTGAAAATTGATCAACAATATATTTTAAAATAAAAAAAAACTATAGATATCCAGGCATTCGGAGAAAATTGCATGTTCTTTATACTTATACAGCGCTTTAGTTCTATTTACTTCAATTGTTATAATAGAAGAAGAAGCTTGTGCTATCATTGCAAGATATCAGAGATCACTTCTAATTTTATATCTTGCTAAATATTGGTATCTAAGGCTAGATTAAAGGAAATTCAATTTTTCTAAAAATGTATTTATTTTTGTACTTACCAGGGGTACAGATGTCAACTTTTTACAAGACCGTTTCTAAGACTTCAAAGAACTTCGAATCATATTGAGATGCATGAAATGAAAATTGTTTTGCACGAGATTTCAACTTCAATTTTCATTTCGAGATTTTTTAAATTAAATAATAATTTTAAGAGTTATTGGTCCTGGTTGAGTAAACTAAAAGCAAAAAGAACCAGATAGAGGAAGAAAGCAAGATGGTAGTAATAATGAATAAATAAAACGAAGAAAAAATGTATACTTATATTATCACGAATGAATCTATCGTAATATCAGTTTCAAAGCACTTACATATATACATACAATATCATAGATGTCGAAAGTAAATTAGATGAGGGGAAGGGGGTCCGGGATTATGATTTTACAAATTCGGCGGGTTTTTATCTTCATAAACGTAGCACGATATGAATAATAATTTTGCTTTAAGATGAACTGTATTTTCATCTAATTAATGATTACAAAAACTCAACTAAATGTCGATAAACCCCTTCTTTGCTCCTTTAAGGACATACGCAACGTAGTTTGAACTTTATTGTCTTTTTCCCTGGAGCTGAAGAGTTCCAATATTTAAAGGAACTGTGTGATACATTTTATCGTCTACATA